GGTCAACAAACCTATTTCTTCAAGGCAGATAGTTAATATTTTAGGATTTGCATGGTTTCCACTGTACCATCATGGCAGGAAGGCAGCTACAGATATTACATCAGTCAGTGGGTGTGGCTGTGTTCCAATAAAACTTTATTCACAAAAACAGGCTTTGGGCTGCATTTGACTCATGGGTCATACTTTGCTAATCCTTCCAGGGCCATTAACTTATATTCAGTCTTCACTCCCATAGTCTCAGACCCCAGCTTTCAACATTACCAAAATCCTGGAAGGTGGATAGTGTTATTTTCATTTTGTAGATATGCAAAATAAGGCTCAGCAAGGCATACTTCGCCCAAACACACATAAATGTTGTAACACCTTTCTAGGGCTTCTATAGCAATGCGGCACAAGTTGCAAAACTGTTTGAAACAATAGAGGTTTAGCCTCTCAGTTGTGGAGGCTGCAAGTCCAAAATCCAGGGGTCAGTAGGCCAAACCTCCTCCCAGGTCTGCGGAGGAGAACCCTTCCTGCCAACACCAGCTTCCAGTGGCTCCCTGTGTTTCTGGGTCTGGGGCTGCCCCACCCCCTCCTCTGCCTGCTTCCACACGGTCTTTCTCCCAGTGTATCTGAGCCTCTCTCCTCTTATAAGGACAAAAGTCATTGGACTTATAACCCATCCTATTACAATATGATCTATTTCATCTAACATCATCTGTAAAGATCCATTTCCAAATACAGTCATATTTTGAGGTTCTGAATAGGCCTGAACTTTGGGGAAAAGCACTTTTAAACCCATTCCATCTGTCAAATGGTATAGTAAGGATATGAACTTGACCTCATTTCAATGATTTTTCTACCTGGAAGTTATAGTCTTAGCTACTAAGTTAAACTAGCAGTTATCAGTGATGTTGAATTTTAGACATCTTTCAAGAAATGATGATTTGAAGACATCAGTGGAAAAGAGAGCTTAGAACTTTACCTGAGGGGACCTTGGTCTCAGCCATCTCTTCTGACTTAAGTCCTTAACATAGGGTTAGTGTTGTTCTGACAGGCATTTGATACATATCTTATGAATAAAGATTTAAGACATTTCCCGTAGATTTCATTGGCTGGGCAAGGGGCATCTCAGGAGAAGTTTCATAGTCTCTCTAGTCAACATCTCTGGGTGCCAAGCTCATAAGATGAGATTTTTTTCCCAGTACTTGTCCAAAGTATGCTTTGTCCCTTAGGGAATGGGTGGTTTCATCACTGTCCAAATAGAGTTGGGAAATGCCAGGCCAAACCAAGCAAAACAAATTTTGTTACTGCAGTAAGTAACTTGCTTCTTAGCACCTTTTATTTGTTAAGGTACCTTGTGAGTTTCTAAGGAGGAAGTGAAAGTTGCTCAGTTGTGTCCGATTCTTTGCGACCCCATGGACTATACAGTCCATGGAATTTTCCAGGCCAGAATACTGGAGTGGGTAGCCTTTCCCTTTTCCAGGGGATCTTCCCAACCCAGGGATCCAACCCAGGTCTCCCACCTTGCAGGCAGATTCTTTACCAGCTGAGCTACCAGGGAAACCCTCTAAGGAGGAGATATTATGCATATTTTTTCTATGTTTATTGGATATTTTTTGTACAGTAGCTTCAGGAACTAATCATGTGTGCCACACACTTTGGCACATCTATCTTGGGCATTTATTTGCTTACTTAAGTGCATGTAAATCTGATTTTCTGGATGCAAATGTAAATGTAAAGAAATGTACTTCTCTTGGATTTGAACCCCTTGATAATGGATGGAATCCCTGACAGAGGGGACACATCAGTGGGTGTACCATGGCATCCACTAATTCATTGGTCAATTCACTCTCCTTTATTCATTTATTCACTCACTGATTTCACACTCACTTATCAAAGAGCAGGCAAGGAGTTGTAAACATAAAGATGATTGAGACCAGACTTCTTATCATTAAATCATTTAGATAATACACATCAATCACCATTTCCCAAAGTAATTCTAATAAATGCAAACCGCTAGTAATGGACTAGTGGAACTGCGTGCCCCCCAAAGTCACAGGTGAAGCTCTAATCCTGAGCACCTTAGAATGTGGCTGTATTTGGAGATAGGACCTTTGAAGAAGTGATTAAGGTTAAATAAGGTCGTAAGGGTGGGGAGCCTAAACCAACAGGAACAATGTCCTTATAAGCAGAGGAGACATAGCAGGGATGGGCCTGCTCAGAGATCAGGCCATGTGAGGACACAGCGAGAAGGTGGCCAAGGAGATAGGCCTCAGGATAAATCAATCCTGCCAACACCTTGATTGTGGATTTCTAGCCTCCAGGACTGTGAGAAAATAAATTTCTGTTGTTTAAGCCACCCAGCCTGCAGTATTTTGTTACAGCAGCTCTCTCAGGTGAAAACAACTCTGTTAATTGTTCATTAGGCCCCTACCTTCAAGAACTTCATTTAACTGGTTCTAATGTCTACTGAGGGTTTCTCATTCCTTTATTGACATCTTAGAAGAATTTCAACAACTTGATTATGTACCATGTGAGGACTTGGTCCTTGTTGTATCTTCACATTGACCAGCAGAGATGCAGGCATCAGACAGAATGAATGCGTCACCTACGTTTCTCCTCCCCTTTGAATATCAATTACGGAGAGATCGCCTAAAACATCCTTTGCAAGAAAAAAGAAAAAAAAGAGCACTAGAAAGTATTAGGCACACAGCTAGATGCTTCAAATATGCCTTTTAATTTAACATCCCTCTTCTATCTTGAGGTGAATATCTTCAGTCCTCTTTCTAGGGGAAGAAACAGAGATCCAAAGAGGATAATGGATTTGCCAAGATCATGAAATTACTGATAGAGTCAGAATTCAAACTCATATATTGTTCCCTCCTGAATATATGCTGGTCTAAGGGAAACAAGGCTAATTTTTTTAAATGGAGAAAAGATGCTGATTAGAGTGCTTTCATCAATTACTTAATTAGAGGAAAGGGGAAATCTGGCTAGGCAGTAGCAGTTACCAAAACAGGACTAAAATTTTAGGACTATGTGTTTATTTCATTGACATTCTCATAACCAACATGGCTATCAAAAAGCCAGGCCTAATGGTAAGTTGTTCAAATAAAAATGATGCTTATAGAGTGTCAGGCACTGTTCTTGGTTCTTTCTATTGTTCTTGATGCCTCTATTCAGGAAGGCAAGTGAAAAACCACCAGAATGTCCCAAGGCAGGTGACAAAAATGACCACATTTTAAAATCATGCTACAAGATTGTTGGTTGAATAAACTGGGAAGGTTTACTGTGGAGAAAATTGAAGATGATATGATGGGCATCTCAAGGAACTGAGAGATTTTCAGGTAGAAGGGAAATTTAGACATAGGGATAAAATTAAAAGGTAGTGAAACTTCCGTTACTGAGATTATTCAAACGGATGTGTCCAGATAGAAACAACACCCCCCTTCATTCAATGGGAGATCAACTAATTAAACTCCTAAATTTTATAAACTTGAATATTTTAGGGTTTTTAAGCATTTATAAAAGCCATCATCCTTATCTTCTTTATTAACAAAGTTAATAAAGGGGCTTGGAGGGGAAAACAAAAACCAAAAAAACCCCCAAAAAACTAGATCCCTTCCAGAACTATAAAAAGAATTGGACAGGAGAGAAATATATCAATTTTTCCCAGCACCATTGCTAAGAGAAATTGTTGTTCAATTTGAACTCTTCTCTATATTAATTTTTTTAATAAACATATTGACAAAATTCAGTCTCAAGTATTGAAAGCCAATAACATCAACAGTTTTGAAAGGATTGTCTATTTTTGCCTATATCAGCAAGGGGAGCTCATCCTTAATGCTTATTATTGGGCCAAGCATTGAGCAGAAGCTTCTCACAGTCAGCTGTGGTGGAGTGGTTTTCTTATCTGGGATCGGTGTTTCTTGAGAAGTACCTACAGAGGCTAAGAAGTGAATGCATGGTGATAGCGAGCATCATTAGAGCAATTAGAGTAGATAATCCATTGCCAACAGCAGAGAAGTGCAGTTATATGATAAGATGGACTATCCAGAGCTCCAAACGACAAATTAAAGATTCGCCGTGGTGTGGTGCCTCTGGAGGGGGATTTCAGATACATTGCACAGCAGGACCGCAGAGGGTGGGTCAAGGAAGACTGGAAGACCCAGAAAACCCAGTCTGCTGTGTGTGGGGGGGGAGGGGGGGTGTATCAAAATGATCTTTAAAAACCACATCGTTGTGGCTATGAACACTTGACCAGTACATGAGAAAGATACGGTGGAGGGGAGGAAATGCACGCCGAGGCTGTTCCGTCCTGTTCCGAACACCATGGGTGTTCTGATAATACTAATGATCCACGAAGAACATGGGGAGCGGGGATGATGACGATTAAAGCAAACCGTGGAAACACAGGGCTGGCGAGGATGGCAAAGACGAGGGAGCGTGAGAGGCAGGATGAGTCACGGGCCGAGGTACCTGGGCTGGAGCGCGGCGGTGCTCACGCCGGCCAGGGGCGGGGGTAGGGGGCGCGCGGGCCCGGGCCCGGGAGTGGGCGGGTGGGCGCCGTGGGCGGAGCGGCTCGGGGCCGAGCGGCTGGCGGCGGTGTCTGCGAGCTCAGCAGCATCACCGGAGCCGAGCCGCGGAGACTCCGCCTAAGTGCCACCCAAACTCTCCTCCCGCACCGCGGACGCACGGAGGCGGCCGAGCCGGAGCATCCTCGCCGAGCCCCGAGCATCCTCGGCCCCGTGCGCTCCCGCCCCCGCCCGGGAAGGCTGGGCTGCGGGAGGCGGCCGGGCGCCCGCGCCTCGCCAGGGCCACCAAAACAAAGGCGGCCGCCTCCGGGGCTGGGTGCAGGCGGAGGACCATGACAGCCCGGGCTCGCGCGCTGCCCAGTCCCGCCGCCGGGAGGGCGCCGCGGTGAGCCGAGCAGGGACGCGGCCGCCGCCGGGCGTGGATCCGAAGGTGCGCTCGCGCCGAACCCAGGCCATCGAGGAGGGGCGGGCCAGGCCGCGAAGATGTCCTCGGCCGTGGGGCCCCGGGGTCCCCGCCCGCCCACCGTGCCTCCCCCGATGCCCGAGCTGCCCGACCTGAGCCACCTGACCGAGGAGGAGAGGAACATCATCCTGGCGGTGATGGACCGGCAGAAAGAGGAAGAGGAGAAGGAAGAAGCCATGCTCAAGTAAGCCAGCCGGCCGGGCCCGCCGAGCCTCCCTCCCGCGGGCCGTTCCCCGCGGCCGCCCGGTCCTCCCGGCTTGCCTGGGGGCCCGGGGCCCGAGAGGCCGGGGCAAGGAGGCGGCGGGTGGGGGGTGCGGGACAGGTGTCAGGCGAGGATGCGCTGAGCCCTGAGCCGAGGAACCCGGGGAGACGATGGCTGGGGACCGAGGTGCAGGAGAGGACTGGGTGCGCGGGGGCCACCCGGGGGTGGGTGCTCAGAAGAGCAGATGCCGCCCGAGTGGAAGGAAGGGGCCCCGGAGCCGGAGCAGAGGAGGGGCAGGGGCTGAACAGGCAGGAAGGCGAGGTGGGGAAGAGCTGCCAGAATAGCTCTTCTTGCCTTGGAGTTGTTGAGCAGGTTGGGGTTACCCCAGCCAAGGGTGCCAGCATTGATGCAAGAAAGATGCTTGTTTTGAGTGTTCATTTTGCTACTCATTCATCTCGCAGCCCGAGGTTGGGTCTTTTTTTTTAGGCAGTTGCCATCTTTGGTAACCTGCCTCCCTAGCTTCTCTTTAACCTTTGATTCAGGGTCTGCTACACAGAAGACCTGTGTGAAGACATTTTCTTCCCCATATATAATGCCATTGGCAATGCAAAGTTTTTAACAATGGGAGAAGCTGATGGGCACTCTGGCCTGAATAAAATACAGGTTCCTCCTTACTGGTTTCCAAGGGAGCGCCAGGGCCTGCTCCTTCCTGGTGCAAGCCTTACAATAGAGGACTGAATCTTTGCACACATCTGCCCTTTAAATCCCTTCAACCAACCCTGCAACGGACCTCTGTCTAATGCCCCTTTTATCTGGGTTTGGGGAGGGGACGGACTGGTGGCTGGTGATGTAGGCATGGGTGACCCTGTCTTGCCACCTGTCTTAGTCTCAGGCCAACATGCCCTGGGGTGCTGGCCTCCTGCACCTGCTTCCCATCACCGTTTATGAGTGGAGTTGGAGGGGACTTCCCCTAGAAGGGTCTCCCAATATTGGGCAAAGTTTTCAACTTGGCAGTGAGGGGCTTCAGAGCCCCAATGGAGATGAGCTCCTTGGAGCCCCAAGTTAAGGCCAGAAGGTGTGTCCAGGGGCAGAAGATTTCTATGAAGAGCCGAAAGGGAGCCTGTTGCATCTGGAGTTAGTGAAGAGAGAAGGAGGGGTGGCAAAAGGGTGATACCCACCTGAGCTCAGGGCAGCTGGGTCCTCTCCCCCGCCCACCCCTGGAAAGGCCTCCAAAAGAGAAGATGCTGCCACAGGAGGGGGGGTTTCCTCCTTCTGCCTGGGTGCAGCAGAGGCTGGCAGGAGAGAGCCGGAGGGAGCTGTGTCCCCGAACTGCTGGGTCTCCACCAACACGGCTGCAGCCCATATGGGGGAGGGGGCCGTTGAGGACAGCTGTTGGGGCCGATCACAGCACACAGGGAGAAACCCAGTCATCCCTGCCCTTTTATGGTAGACTCCGAGAGGAGCCATTAACTCAGAAGGCCAGAGTTGGCCTGGTTATATGAAGAGCAGCAGGTTTCTAAATTCCCTGTCCCTTCTTATCCAAAAAAAAAAAAAAACAAAGACTTTAAGCCTCCCGGCTTGAGGGAGGCAGAACCTCGTTAATCTGCTGCCTGTCCCTGGTGGACCGTCCCTGGCGCTGCAGGCTTCCCCTCTTCTGAGACTGGAAGTAATGGATGGTGTCTGCTGGTCCTGCTGTCTGTCTGTCTGGTTGTCAGTCCGTCTGTCCTCCCCGGCCGCCGCCCCTGCCACCTGTTCCAGGCATCTCTTCTGCCGGTCAGGAAGCACCGTTTGGCTCCTATTTCTTTTGGTGTTCGCCGCACACAGCAGGTGGACGGATGCCTCCAGCCGCCGGTGGAAAACATGGGAGGCTGCCTGACGGGGTCCGACCCGGAGCAGGGCACGCGGGTGGGCGTCACGTTTCTTCATTGGCTGTTTCAGGGCTGGCAGAGAGTCAGGGATTCTAGTGGGGAGGGTGCATCCTGGTAGTGATCGGATCCTACCGGCTTCTATGGACAAATAAAAATGAAAGATGCTGTCCAGCTGCTCACGTGGAAAGCATCGTTCCCGCTGCTGTGCTCGCGACTGCTCTCCCGCACACAGCGCTCCTTTTTTGCAGATTCACAAAACATGACAGGGTGTGATGCTCTCACACCACAGCCTCTACAACCCCGGGGCTTGAGCACTATCTCTGTCAATCAGCCTAATGTCTTGGCCTTCCTTGCCCTGGCAGATTGGGCATGCTTTGGAATCCCAGTTTGCTGCGATGTAAGTCTGCCCTGTTATCTGCTCATTAGCGGAACAGAGCTGTACTTTTTTTTCTAGAGGGCACTTTATGTCTTAAAAACAGGATCCTTAGTGGGTATTCAGATAACACACCTATGTGGGAACTTAAAGACACACAGTCATGGGTGGTGGCCCTTTGTAAACTTTGCATAAAGATAGATTGTAAAAAAGCAGGAGGCTTTTCACAAGGTTTTGAAATAGTTGTGAAATCAGAGACAGGTTTTTTTGTGATAATGTGTGGTCATCATAGCACATATCTAAGATATTGCTCTCACAACAGGTCCTACAAAGCTAAACTCCTGGTAACAGAGCATTTAGACTTAAAATTCACTTTAGTCATTACTGTAGAGTCATTCCCTTGGGCTCCCTACCTACTGTGTACCTATTGTGTGTTCACAATTTGTAAAGTCAGATGTCAGCAGAGAAGAGATGAAACTGATGGGTGAATATGCCAAAGAAATGCTATACAATATCAATTACAATATATTCATGAGGTTTCATCAGCCTTGACTTTACATTACTGCTTGAATTTGGTCTTGATAATGCCTTTAAATTTTTACAAATAGAAAAGAATAGTGAAGCTAATTTCACCTTAAGATTTCAGGAAAGAAATTCTTTGAAATTTATAAGTACTTTGTCATAAAAATAACTCGTTTTGTTGGCAAGGTGCACTAATTTTAGACACCACTGTCATATAGTAATTACTAGATATAGCTGACTCCTGCAAATAATTTCTAATGGTTTGATTTATTTCCCTGTGAATAGAAGGTCTTTCTTAATCTTAGGGTTTTGAGGTGTGTTGGTGTGGGTATGACTATGTGTTTTAGAAGTTTTTTGGAACCTAACTTCCTCAATGAATACTCCTTGAGGTAACTGTCACCAGACACCAAGAGCCAATATATTACATGGGTTGAAAACTGTGTTATCCTGGGACCTGAATCCAAGAAGATCTCATCAGATCTAAAATCTTATTCCCTTCTTATAAAAGCTTCATAGACAGAAGAACTACAGAGTAACAAGATGAGGAAAAAATATATAGAAGCAGAAAGGGAAAGTGATGGCTGGAGGCAGGGAATTGAGAATTGTGTCAGAATAGTTAATAGAACTACTAACATTTATTGAGCATTTACCTCATATTGGCCATTAACCTAAGTGGTTATTGAAGCAAATGCCAAAGAGTTGAACTGTGTTCAAGTTCAATATGTGTGTATTTGGATTCTCCCAAAGAGCTTGTGTAGAAGGTAAGTTGGGTCATGTCATCCACAGATCCTCATCCTGCTCTTAGAGGGCTCCTATGGTACCTTGAACCACCTCACAAAACATAGCCCAACCAGGTCCAGACCATTTATGCTAAGTCCGAGCACAGTTCCCACATGCCACCCTGCCCTTCTACCAAGAAGAAACCTGCATTTCATCTACCTCCTCTTTAAATTGGTGTCTGTCCATCCTTCACTGTCAGAGAGGGAGTTTGGCAGAAGGTTAGGCTGATTCAGAGGATGAGCTGCTGATTATAGGAGAACCAGGAGCTTCATCCACACTCTTAATAGGGTCTCCCAGTGGAGTGAGGGCAAGGGAATTATCTCCAAGTTGACGGTTATAAAAAGCATAATGGAAAGTCCATTAAAGTTGGATCCAAGCATTTGGGGGTTCAAGTTTTAATTTTGCCACTTACATTGTATAAATATGGGCAAGAAAATTCAGTTGGGATTCCAGGAGGTTCTGTCTTTCTTACAAATCCTGCAATTCATGGTGTGAATTGACTTATAAAGGATATTGAGTTTGGACTTCTCCATCTCTCTTAACAGGGAACCTTGCACCCACTAACTCTTCAAACCTCCATAACACCTACTTCCTTTGTGAGAGGAGAGACAAAGGAGAGGGGAGAACCCTTGTACCTTCAGCTTTTTTTCCTCCTTTTTCTCCTCCAACCAATTATAATACTGTGACTCAGAATTCATCCAGCAGTCTCAACTGACAACTGTGAAATGAAAGAATGGTAGCAGAGGGCTTCTGTAGTGAAGTGAGGACAGAGTCCCCAAGAAGGCAGACATCATTTTTTCCTAGACATTTGCATAGAGTTTTGTATGTTACACCCCAGAATACTCTCTCATGTTGCTGATCCAGGGGGGCATAGACCTATGTTAGTAAATATACATACCTAGTACTAGGTCCCAAAATGCTCCTGGAGAAAATTCAGATAAGAGAAGCCTCAAAAAATGACAGTGAGGCGTTGTCAAATAGAAGAGAGGGTAAGAAAGATAACATTAGTTCACATTTCTGCCAGCCTGTCTTGCCTCTTCTTTACCTCTGAGTATTCTCTCTTAACCAGAAGTGAGGAGCACCACTGCTGAAGTACATAGATTCCTAAATCTGCAGTAGAATGTGGAAACCAGTGTGGACTGCAGGCGCCCCTGCCGACTTAAATAGAAACAGAGTCTTGGGAGTGTTACTTGCTCAACTGGTTAGATGAGAAGAAAGGTTTGAGTTCAACCTGTGCAGAAAGAGTCAGCTTCCTGCAAAGATATCAAATAGCAATGCCTGCAATAACATTATTGCCCTCCCAACATCTGTAATATGCTGCTGAGATTACTGTACCATGGATTGTAAAGCCCACTGTATTGCATTCCATTTATCTTTATGGACTGTTTTATATTTTTAAGCAGCTTTCTACATGTTGAGCTATAATAGGAGCTGGGTAT